TGCAAAACCTCAACAACAAAAAGGCTAATAACCCGGTTGAAAGATGGGCAAAGGATATGAACAGGCACTTCACCAAAGAAGACATTCAGGCAGCTAATAGACACATGTAGAAATGCTCACGATCATTAGCCATTAGAGAAATGCAAATCAAAACTACAGTGAGATATCATCTCATCCCAGCAAGGCTAGCATTAATCCAAAAAACACAAAATAATAAATGTTGGAGAGGTTGTGGAGAGACTGAAACACTTATACACTGTTGGTGGGAATGTAAAATGGTACAGCTACTTTGGAAATCGATTTGGTGCTTCCTTAAAAAGCTAGAAATAGAAGTACCATATGATCCAGCAATCCCACTCCTTGGAATATATCCTAGAGAAATAAGAGCTGTCACATGAATGGATATATGCACACCCATGTTCATTGCAGCACTGTTCACAATAGCAAAAAGATGGAAACAACCTAGGTGCCCATCAACGGACGAATGGATAAACAAATTATGGTGTATTCACATAATGGGATACTACGCAACAATAAAGAACAATGAATCCGTGAAACATAACATGGAGGAATCTGGAAGGCTTTATGCTGAGTGAGTTTAGTCAGTCACAGAAGGACAAATAATGTATAAGACCACTATTATAAGAACTCAAGAAAAGGTTTAAACACAGAAGACAACATTCTTTGATGATTACAAGGGTGGGGAGGGAGGGTAAGTGTTATTCACTAACTAGATAGTAGACAAGTATTATCTTAGGTGAAGGGAAGGACAGCACACACTACAGGGTAAGACAGCACAACTGGACTAAACCAAACTAAGAAGTTTCCTGAATACAGTCAAACACTTTGAGGGACAGAGTAGCAGGGGCGGGGGTCTGGGGACCATGCTTTCAGGGGACATCTGGGTCAATTGGCATAACAAAGCTTACTAAGAAAACGTTCTGCATCCTACTTTGGTGAGTGGCGTCTGGGGTCTTAAAAGATAGCAAGTGGTCATCTAAGATGCTTCAGTTGGTCCCAACCACCTGGAGTAAAGGAGAATGAAGAACACCAAAGACACAAGAAAAGTATTAAGTAGCCCAAGAAACAGAAAGGACCTTGTAAACCAGAGACTGCATCATCGTGAGACCAGAAGAACTAGATGGTCCCCAGCTACCACAATGACTGCCCTGACAAGGAACACAACAGATGGAGCAGGAGAAAAGTGCGGTGCAGAACTTAAATTCTAGTAAAAAGACCAGACTTAATGGTCTGACTGATACTTGAGAATCCCCAGAAAGCATGGCCCCCAGACTCTCTGTCAGCCCAGAACTAAAACAATTCTCGAGGCCAACTCTTCAGACAAAGATTAGATTGGACTATGGGACATAAAATGATACTTGTGAAGAGTGTGTTTCTTAGCTCAAGTAGATACATGAGACTAAATGGGTAGCACCTGTCCAGAGGCAAGATGAGAAGGCAGAGAGGGTCAGGAGCTCGTTGAATGGACATCGGAAATCTGGAGTGGAAAGGAGGAGTGTGCTGTCACAGCACAAGGAGAGCAACTGGGGTCACATAACAATGTATGTATAAATTTTTGTATGAGAGACTAGAATTGTAAACTTTCACTTAAAGTACAACAATAATAAAAAAAAGTTATTGTATTTATTTTTAATGTATGTGTGCTGCATCCTGAAGTTCTATTTTGATATATCCAAGTAGGCTAGACATTTGTGCTACTCTGGTTGCTAATCTTGCTGCACTGAAGCTCTCACCTGCCGTCTCCGGGTGGGTGGAGCAGCAGCTGGGTGTGTGAGCGCAAGTCTCTGTTTGCTGGTCTTGTAGAGCTGCTGAGGATATAGCTGGCGTTTCTGGTGAGGTGATATATCTGTCTGGCCGGTCACCTGGCCATAGGTGCTAGGAACGTTCTCCCTGGTTGCTGGGTTGGGTATTTTGGGTGTGCTCTGCCTGTTGCCAGGTGGTCCGGACAAGGGTACCTGGTTCATCAGTCACTGGGTGTATAGTGTGGAAACTCTTACCGATGGTTTGGGCAGTTAGGGCTGTGTGGGGTTGTTCAGAGTGGGCACAAGCCTCTGGCTGCAGGGAGGTGGGACGAGGTGGGGGGTGAGACAGGCGGGATGTTGCCTGACCATGGGTGCCTGGTTGGAGAGTATGTCACTGTCCACTAGAGCATGTCTTGGGGGATGTTGTGCAGCTGGTCCGTGGGCCCTCAGCACAGGTGGCTGGAGGGAATGGGAGGCACTACCGGCCCTCAGGCCTCCATTGTGGGCTGCTGGAGGGTGTTGGAGGCACTGTTGGCCCTCAGGCCCCTGGCATGGGTGGCTGAATGGAGTGGGAGGCACCATTGGCCCTTAGGCCCCCCGGCGCAGGTGGCCAGAGGGAGTTGGGGGGCACTGCCAGTCTTCTGGGCCCCAGTGCTGGTGGCCAGAGGGAAGGGGAGGCACCACTGGCCCTCAGGCCCCCAGTGTGGGTAACTGGAGGGAGTGGCAAGCTCTGCTGGCCCGCAGGCCCTGGTATAGGTGACTGGAGGGAGTAGGAGGTGTTGCAGGTCTGTGGGTCCCCCACATGCGTGAATGAGCGAAGGGGTGGTTCCCTCCAGTCCGTGGGATCCTGGATTAGGGGGTGGGATTAGGGTGCTGCCAGACTGTGATCGTGTGCAGGCAGGGGGGATGGGCAAGAAGAGGGGCCCACAGGCTTGCAGGCTCCCAACACAGGGGCTGTGGTGGGTATGCTGGGTGGGGTGCATGCACTTTCACAGGATGGGAAGCACTCCTGCCTGGCTCTGGATGTGAGTGCAGAGTCACTCCTGCTTGGCTGCACCAGGTGATGGGGTTTTCAGCTGGGAACGCTGCTTGCTTTATGTCAGTATGGCCATGCTGTGCAGATTTGGCTAGCAGAGCACTGGTGATCTGCAGTTCTCCGTGTCTGCAGTTTTTATACTGTCTCTCCTTCTGCTTGACTCTTGATCCAGTTCTTCAGCCTTGTCTTTGATGCTCAGGATTCCAAAATCGTCATGTATATCTGATTACTTGTTTTCTCCAGTCTTTAAGAAGTATCTGATTACTCCGTTATCTTGGACTGCTGCCTTCATATTTTCATTTGTGTTATCTTTCCATTTGAAGTGAAAGGTGCCATTTACCTAGATACTGCCTTTTGACTTTATTCCTAAATATTTTACTCCTTCACATTAAATACTTCAGTATGTTTTTTGTAAGAACAAGGATGTTCCCTTAAATTACCCAGTACAGTTTCAAATTCAGGAAATCCAGCATTAATACAATACCATTATCTCATATATAGGTTTTATTAAAATTTTGCTAATTGTTTTAGTAATGTTCTTTGTAGCAGTTGTTTTGTTTCTTTCTGGTACAAGATCCAGTATAGCAAGACCTACCTGCTGCATTTCATTTCCATGGTTTTTGGTTTTGTTTTAATTACCTTTAAGTGCCTTTAGTTGCCTGGAATGAGTCTATGGCTTTTTTTTTTTTTTAATGACATTGATATTTTGAAGTATACAAGCTACCTGTTTTGTAAAATGTCCTTCCGTTTGATTATTTCTGATATTTCCTCATGATTTGATTCAGTTGTACATTTTCGGTAGGACTACTACAGAATACTGGTTTGTCTCATTTGCCTTTGATCAATTGGTTAAGGAGATACCTGTCAGGTTTCTCCACTGTAAAATAATTTTCTATTTGTTATTAATAACAACTTGTGAGCAGATACTTTTGAAACTATGTAAATATCCTTTTTTTAAAAATCAAGCTGTCACCCACTTGTTTTGACATCCTTTGATGATTCTTGCCTGCTGAATCAGTTATTGCTTTGATGATTGCTAAATGGTGATTTTCTAATTCCGTATTTTCTTCTACACTTATTAGCATTCTGCTGTAAGGATGAGCTTTCCCTTCTATCTTATGTAGCAGTCAGTCAGTCATCAGTATGGATGCACTGATTTTTACTTTGTTATGTATCTATGGAGCCCTGGTTTCTCAGTGGTTAAGAGCTCAGGCTGCTAAACAAAAGATCGGCAGTTTGAATCCACTAGTCACCCCTTGGAAACCCTGTGGGGCAGTTCTACCTGTCCTATAGAGTTGCTATGAATTGAGATCAACTTGATGGCAACAGATTTGATTTGGTTTGTTTTTTATATATGGATTATAATTTGTTGCTATTTGTTTATTTTGTTAAATTGTTCCATATTTGGCCAGTGGGGAGCAACATAACCTTTTTATGACTGGGAGCTGCCATGAAGAATGTGATTTATTCATTGGTTGCAGGATAGGAACCTTGGTGGCACAATGATTAAGCGCTTGACTGCTAATTGAAAGGTCAGCTGTTAGAACCCACCAGAGATTCCATGGGTGATCTTGACAGACGTGTGAAAGTCAGCATATCCTGGCAATCTGCTCCCAAAAAGATTATGTCCTAGGAAACCCTCTGGGCAGTTCTACACTCTCCAGTAGAGTCGCTATGAGTCAGAATCAACTCTAGGTTACATAACAACAAGATGAAAGGAAGGACAGATTGTTGATGTGTAACTTAGTGTCTCTCCTGCACTCAATTGTGTTAGCTACCTTTGCTTTAGGTTAAACTGGGGATTTATCCAAGTGTTTGGTTTATCTTTTCTGTAGTCAATTGCTGTTTTCTTTCTCTGTAAAGTCTCTTTTACATGGGTTAAAGTAGAAGTAGCCACAGGGCAAAGTATGTTTTATTTCTTTAAAATCATTTCCTTGTGATAATATCTTAATCATTTTTCTTACTGTAAGATTATATTATGTACTACTGTACCTGAACACAATGGAAGGGCAAAAATATTATGATTATCTCAATTATACTGACAATCATGTTCAAAACTGTTTTCCTTTTGCTGTTTTGTTCTGCATATTTTCAAGTGCCCCAAACTGAATAAATGTGATATTATTGAGATATTAAGTTTTATTTATCTTCTTGGATAAGAACTGTAGAAATAAATATTAACAGAATTTTACCTTGGGTAGGAGCTGTCACAAAAACATGAACTCAGTGTTGATGAAGACTTTTGTGGTCATTATTTCAAGAATATTGATTGTTGGACAACAAAAAATGAAAACTTAGATTGCAACAGTGATTTACAGGTGTTTCCCTCATTGACTGTGAGTATCTGCCTTACCATGTTAAAATAGAGTTTATTTTATTCTCGGTGAATACCAATCAACTTAAATTCCTGCTTTATCGGTATTTTCTATAAAGAATCGTGTTTAATTTTTAAAATTTTTAGGTTAACTTAGTTTTCATGTGTTTGTGTGTGTGTGTGTATAATAGTACATAATAAGTAAGGTATTGACACCATTGTTGCATTTCTTTGTACCCCTTTCAGAATTCTTGAGTCTTTTATGATCTTCTGTCTCTAATTCTGTCATTCTCTGTTAAATCCACTCCAATCGCTCTTTTGCCCCTGCCATTCCAACACAACAGCTCTAGTCAAGATCGCCAGTGACCTTCATGTTGTTAAATCCAGTGGTCTGTTCTCAGTCCTCACCTGACTGACTTATCACCAGCATTTAACACACTTGAGCACCCCCTTTTCGTTCATGAACTTCTCCACTTGGCTACCAAAACACCATTCTTCTGGTTTTCCCTTTCCCTTTCTGGTTTTCTCTTCATCCTCTTATTGGGACTTCCTCTTCTCCTATGTTTGAGGGCCCCAGTGCTCAGTTCTTGGTCTTCTTTTCTTTTCTATTTATACTTCTTCCCTTGATGATCTCATCCAGTCACATTGCTTTAAATACTGTCTGTATGCTGTTGACTTCTAAATTTATATCTCCAGCCTAGACTCTTTTATCCAACTATCTGCAGTTGGGTAACTTAACAGACATCTGAAAGTCAACATGTCCAGAGTAGAATTCCTGATCTGCTACAAACCTGCTTCATGTAGAGCCTTTCCCATTTTGATTGATAGTAGTTCTCTTTTTGCTGTCATTCAGGCCAAAAACTTCAAAGTTATCCTTAACGTCATTCTTTTTTCTCACACCCAGTTATGTAGGAGATCCTTTTGAATCTATCATCAAAATAACATCCAGAGTTTGAATGCTTCTCACTGCCTCCACCCTGGTCTAAGTCACTATTATCTCTTGCCTTGATTATTTCAATCGTCACCTAACTGGTCTTTCTGTTTCTACCCTTGCCCCTCTACAGACAACATAGCAGTGATTCTATTAAAATGTCGATTAGGTCATGTTATTTCTGTGCTCAAACCTTGCCATGGCTCCCTGTTTTCCTCAGGGCTAAGCCAAAGTCCCTGCAATGGCCTACAAGGTGTTACACAACCTGACCTCCTTTACTTCGCTGACTGTCTTTTTCTAGTCTTTGCTTTATTCACTGCATTCCAGTGTCACTGACTTCTTTTCTTCTCCTCAAAACATTCCAGGCACATTCTTGCTTTAGGGTCTTCGTACTGGCTATTCCCACTGCCTGGAATGCTCTTCCCTCAGAGATTTGCTTGGTAACTCCTTCGTCAAGTCTTTTACTCAGATCTTGTTTTCTCAGTAAGACCTACCCTAACCATGAACTCTGTTTTGTTGGTTTATCTGTCTATTTCTGCTCCAGACTGTTTTAATTATATTAATTTTATAATATGTTTGATATCCAAGGTAAGCACCCCTCGTTATTCTTATTCAGAAATTTTTGACCATTCTTCTTATTTATTCTTCTAAACAAACATTAATGTTGACCTTTTTATTATGGTAAAAAAAATCCTTTGGAATTCTGATAGGAATTGCATTAAATTTATGTCATGATTTGGAGAGGTTTGATGCCTTTGTAATATCACATCAATCCCATTCAGGAAAATGATGTATCTCTCCATTTATTTAAATTCTGGTCTTTCAGTAAAATTTTACAGTTGTCTTTGTACATGTTTTGTATATTCTTTCTCTTTTTTTAAAGCTTGTATTTTTTCTTTTTTTTTTTTTAGAGAGAAGTTTACTTTCTTAGAAATTCTGCAAGGGGGCTAAAAGTAACCAGTCTGGGCTTAAGGAATTTTATCTTTAACTTCCTCACACTGGGGGACAGGCCCTGTTGGTGTATTCAGACATTATTGATCCATTTTCTCTTTGTTTGGAGGGAGACCGGGCTGTCTTCCTGCTGGGCCCATGGTTTTCCCATTTTGTTCTCTGTTTAATCTGTGGCCCTTTGTGGTGTTTTTTTTTTTTTTTTTCTTTTTATTGTACTTTACATGAAGATTTACAAGCAAATTAGTTTCTCATTAAACAATACACATACTGTTTTGTGACATTGGTTGCTAACCCCACAACATGTCAACACTCACCCCCTCTCGAACTTGGGTTCCCCGTTACCAGCTTTCCTGTTCCCTCCATGCCTTCTTGTCCCTCCCCCTGAGCTGGTGTGCCCATTTAGTCTCATTTTGTTTTATGGACCTGTCTAATCTTTGGCTGAAGGGTGAACCTCAGGAGTGACTTCAGTAGTGAGGTAAAAGGGTGTCCAGGGGGCATACTCTGGGGTTTCTCCAGTCTCTGTCAGACAAGTAAGTCTGGTCATTTTTTGTGAGTTAAAATTTTGTTCTACATTTTCCTCCTGCTCTGTTCAGGACCCTCTATTGTGATCCCTGTCAGAGCAGTTGGTGGTGATAGCCAGGCCCATCTAGTTGTGTTGGACTCAGTCAGGTGGAGGCTGCGGTAGTTGTGGTCCATTCGTCCTATGGACTAATCTTTCTCTTAAGTCTTTGGTTTTCTTCATTTTCCCTTGCTCCAGACGGGGTAGGACCAGTGCAGTATCTTAGCTTCTCACAAGCATTTAAGACCCGGACGCTACTCACCAAAGCAGGATGTAGAACATTTTCTTTATAAACTATGTTATACCAGTTGAGCTAGATGTCCGCCGAGACTGTGGCCCCAGCCCTCAGCCCAGTAATTTGGTCCCTCATGGAGTTTGGATGTGTGTATAAAGCTTCCATGACCTTGCATTGGTCATGTTGTGCTGACTTGCCTAGAATTGTGTACTGTCTTACCCTTCACCAAAGTTACCACTTATCGATTGTCCAGTTAGTGTTTTTCTGTCCCTACTACTCCCCTCTCTAGTAACCAACAAAGATTCTTTCTGTGTGTAAACCTTGTCATGAGTTTTTATAATAGTGGTCTCATACAGTATTTATCTTTTTTTGATTGACTTATTACACTTAGTATACTACCGTCCAGATTCATCCATATTGTGAGATGTTTCACAGATTCATCATTGTTCTTTATTGTTGCATAGTATTCAATTGTGTGTATGTACCGTAGTTTGTTTATCCATTCTTCTGTTGATGGGCACTTAGATTGTTTCCATCTTTTTGCTATCGTGAATAATGCTGCAGTGAAAATGAGTGTACATATATCTATTCGTGTGATGGCTCTTATTTTTCTAGGATATATTCCTAGGAGTTGGATTGCTGGATCGTATGGTATTTCTATTTCTAGCTTTCTACGGAAGCGCCATATCATTTTCCAGAATAGTTGTACCATTTTACATTCCCATCAGCAGTGAATAAGAGTTCCAAGCTCTCCATAGCCTCTCAAACATTTGTTATTTTCTGTTTTTTTGATTCGTGCCAGTAATGTCAGGGTGAGATGGTATCTCATTGTAGTTTTGATTTGTATTTCTCTAATGGCTAGTGATCTTGAACATTTCCTCGTGTGCCCATTAGCTGCCTGAATGTCTGTGATAAAATGTCTGTTCATATCCTTTGCCCATTTTTTAATTGGGTTATTTGTCTTTTTGTTGTAGAGGTGTTGGATTTTCCAATAGATTTTAGAGATTAGACTTCTCGAATTTGTCATAACCAAAATGTTTTCCAAGTCTGTAGGTTCTCTTTTAACTCTTTTGGTGAAGTCTTTTGATGACCATAAATGTTTAATTTTTAGAAGATCCCAGTTATCTAGCTTATCTTCTGGTGTTTGTGTATTGTTACTTATGGTTTATATGCTACTTATGCCATGTATTAGGGCCTCTAGTGTTGACCCTATTTTTTCTTTTGTGATCTTTATATTTTTTTTATAAATTTTTTTTATTGTACTTTAGAT